GTGGATGGGGCAGCTTCCTTAAGGGACTGTGAGTGATGGGTACCATTCTGACATTCTCAGTACAGTGCCTTGCCTACCAACTGCTTTCAGCTTCTTCTCTTGTTCCTTCTCCTCCCATTCCCTCTTCCTCTCTGCAGGTCCCGTATTTGATACAACAACCACGTTTTATCTGGCATATTTCCATGCTGCCATGTCTTTGCAGGTCCCTCAACCCAGGAAATATTTCTTCATGCATTTCTGACTATCATACTTGGTGTGCTTCAGCTAGGAACTCTGTAGGGGTGGGGTGGGGGCCGGGCTAGCAAAGTCAGAATGGCTGTGCTTTGAGAAAACTAGAATCTGAACAACAGACCCTATGTGTGCTGGTGTGGGGAGGTGGGGGTTCATAGGACCCCCTAAGAACTTTAGGAGACCTTAGGTCATACACATGGTGGCAGTGGACTACTGAAAATTTAACAGTTCAAACCCATACATGGGTGGCTTGGAAGTGAGACCTGGCAATCTGCTTCTGAAGTCAGCATTGAAACCTTATGGTGCAATTCCTCTCTGCACACATGGGGTCCCCATGAGTGGGAATCAACAGGATGGCAACTAACAACAATGACAAGGACTTTAGAGCACGCTGTGGGGTCCTCAGGCTGATTTCAACCAGAATCAGCACACGTGGAAGGGTACAGCACGAAGGCTTCTTGGCAGGGTCACATCTCTGTAAACAGGGTGATTTAATTCAATATGAAGGAGACCAGAAATAGAATAGGAGGTAAGATGTCCTCACTCAAAACTCACTGCCGTCGAGTGGATTTCGACTCATAGCGACCCTTCCTTGGGTTTCTGAGGCAGTGTTTCTACGGAAGTAGGTTGCCCATTTTCCTTCTGAGTAGTGGCTGGTGGGTTTCAACCACCAGCCTTCTGGTTAGCAGTCAAATGCCATACCACCAGAGCTCCTAGTGGGATTCAAGTAAGAGGCCTTGGGTCCCAATTTAATATACTGGGTAGGGCAAGGCTACTGGTGGAGGGTGGGGCATGGAGGCCAAGCCGGGCGCTGAGAGCTAGGTGGCCTGCTACATATGACAAAGGGAAAGTTCTCTAGGTTCCTTGCACCTACCCAGTGCCTGGCAGCTTCCCGGAACTCATCTGCTGGCGTCAGCAACAGTCAGGAGCTCTGCCATGCTGCATCTTTATGGTTCTGAGTAGGATCTCCAAAGTAGAGTATGCATCTTCCAGGTGGTGCAAGATGGTCCATTTGGGTATGAAAAGAGCACATTAGAACTTTCATTTCCATATATTCAAATCTTATCATTTTTCTATTTTATGTTTTATATGGTTCATAATACGTTAGTCCATTTATAAAACTCTCAAATCAAACTCACTGCCATTGAGTTGGATCCAACTCAGAGACCCCCTCCTTGGGTTTCTGAGGGGATATCACTATGGAAGTAGATTGCCCAACCTTCCTTCCGAGGAGTGGCTGGTGGGTTTGAACCACCAGCCTTCTGGTTAGCAGTCAAATGCCTTAGGCACTATGCTACCAGAGCTCCCAGTACATTTATAGAATTTGTAAATAAGTAAATATGCATATATTGGGAGTACACTTTCTGAATTCTTTTTATTGATAAGTGGATGATCAAAAAAGTTTGAAGATCACTCTTCTAGGAGACTAGTAGTCAGGAGTGGCAAGAGAGGGCAGGATGGATGTCCTACTGCCATTCGCTGAGATGAGAAACAGGGAAGGAGGCGCAGGTGGAGATGGGAGAGGGGGGAGAGGGAAAGGGGTGAACTTGATTGGGGTTTGTAGATTTGTTGAGGGGCCTGCATATCTCTCTGTATTGTCCCCCATGAAGTGAGAGAAGGTGGGCAAATTAGCTTGGGGAAAGAAAAGCCTCTGAGATCCTAGTGAGAAGTTTTCCAAGAGACTATCCTTCCACCCACGTAGGGCATTTCACTCTTTAGTCTGCCCCCAGGCCCTGCTTGCAGCACCCCCAGCCACCACTAGAGACTCAGAGTTAAAGAACCCTTCAAGTGGGAGGAGGTTGGGATGGAAGCTAAGTCTGGGAGGTTTGGGGGCAAAAGGAGAAGAAAAGTCTCCTCTGTCTCACAGGTGGCCTTCACGTTGGCAAGAGTGTGGGAGAGCTAGGGCTGAGGGTAGCTGACCGGGTAGAAAGGCGCCCCATTCCACGCATCTCTGGGGCAGCCCAGACGACTCCTGCCCCAAACAGGGACAGAGACACGGAAACATACACGCAGATCCGCACACTCACACTGGTCACGAGAATATTAAAAGACAAACAGTTCTCCCACCCCGACCCCCACCCCCACAACCAGAGCACCCAGGGACATACAGACCCTCACGGACAGGAAGCCACACAGATCGGTCGACCAACCTAAGCGCCCGCACGCCCTCTCCCAAACAGCCCCACAGGGCGCGCCAGTTCCAGTTACTGCTCTCTGAGCCCTGGCCTCTGCGGGGCACTGGGGGCACTGGGGGCACTGGAGCCAGGACCGGTGAGTCAGGCCATGGGAGTCAGCGCGCCTCGAGGAAAGTTGCTGCGGTTGTCCGGGGTCTCTGCGTTCCAGGCGCCGACTCCGTGGCTACTACTGCGGCTGCGCCAAAGCACAAATGCGCCCCCCTGGGAGCAGAGGGAGGGGGCAGAATAGCAAACGCCCCCCAAACTGGCTAGGAGAGGAATTCAGAGTCTGGTTCTGAGCCTGCACCCCAAATCTGAATGCAGATGGAGTGGCAGGAACGGCGCAGTCGGCCTGGTGTAGATAACGTAACTCGAGTTATTCTGCCGTTTCAGAAAACGACATCTCCTTGTCCCAAGGGTGGAGTGGGGTAGGGCAGGGTGGCTAGTGACAGCGCAGCTGGTCTGGGTTTTTGCTGAGTGCAGCCTCCACCAGGGGTCGCGACAAAAGAGTTAGGGGACGTAGCAGTGGAGATGTGGTTGGGAGGATCACTGAGGGGATTTGGGGGGTCAGTGCGAGGGGAGGCCCGTCCCAGAGACAGGGAGAAGACAAACCTGGAGTCATGGGGAGTGACATACAAAATTTTATTATTATTATTATTTACTTTTATTATTTA